GCTGATTTACTGGTAGTCTTGAAACTCTACTCTAATACGAATATAAATTTTCAATATCATAAACTAAATCTTAAAACGAGGTTAAACGAAACTACGGTAGTGCATGTGTGATGCATTTTTAAATAAGCAATATAGAAGTAAAATTTAAAATCTTACTAATTTAACAAGTAATAAAATTAGATGTAAATAAATAACATTTTAGGACGGAAAAGTATAAATATGCTTGTGAGGTAATCATTTATTTAATAAAATAAGAAGTAAGGGGATGCTTTAATAAAAAATAATTTATTGTCTAAGAAATGTCCAAAGCCAAAGGAACTTTGGAACCAAAACAATAAAAAATGTTAAAAACAACATTACAAAATGGACGGAGCAGAATGGCAGCATAAACTTATTAATGAAGATTTTATGCCATAAAGCAAGAGAATAAAGAGCAAACTCAAAGCGATTCACATGGGAATAAATGCAGACAATTACGCTAAGTATGCCCCTACCCCAATAGCAATGCCTTATTCACTGTTAAACTGTTCAAGATCAAAGCAAATTGGTTTGAAAAAGCATTCCGATAAAAGAATTAATATTTAATAAAATGAGCTTACGGGATAGCTGAAAGAAGTTAGCAATTGGTCGAGGCCGCAGCCGATTGAAACGAGGCCGACTGGACCAGACATCAATGCTTGAGTAGATTTCCGTTCCCAAAGCATCCATATCAATGAAGGAGAAAACTTGATTAAACTTGAGAAGGTAATGGTAAGCAACAAGGAAATTAAGATTGAGTAATTAAGTCTACTATGAAAAATGGAGTAAATAGTAATGGGTACATTTCTATGTGGAAGAATAATAGTAAGTAGACCTACTTAAAATCAAATGTATAAGTAATGAAACAAAATCTAAAAGGTATCCGGTGGACCCGACACAAACAAAGGAAACCGATAGAAGATGCAAAAAGGGGCGGGAACAGCGGTGTATGTAGGTAAGTCAAATTCTGAAGATGAAAATTATGTAAAATAATTTTATAAAAAAATCTTAGAAACAGTAGTTTTCTTAAATAACAATAGTCGTTCTCCATAAATAATTCTCTAAATTTAGTTAAGAAAACAGGAAATATGGCATACGTACGGAGAAATCATGAAGAGGATGACCGACTTCGCTGTTCGAGTTTGGAGTGATTGAATCAAGATTCAAGTTGCTCGCTAGTAGGGTAATCCAGCTGACAGATGGATGCATTTGTCGAGAGGCGATTAAATCCATGGTGGATAAAATATTGGCCATTTTAAGGTACCATCTGAAGTCAAGTACAGGGAAGGAGGAATAGTTATCATTCAGCAGGGAGAGTAAACAAAATGCAGGTATTCATATAGATCGGAATGTAAAACTAATATGTAACAAATAAAATAAAATAGACAGTTATAAAAAAAGATCCACCTAGTCTCAAAATTTACTTAATATGAATAATAATAAACTAATGTTGGTTTGATGTTTGTTTGGCTTGGCTTCGCAACTTGGTCAGGGCAACATGGAGACCTTGTGGAACCTACCTAGTCCTGCGTCCTACATTATAGTATTCATGATGATTTCCAGGATCGGACCTTACACTTGATACATTTCAGGACATTGCGCAAGCATCATCAATGAGAGGCGCCATCCTTAGCACAGCGTTACAGCTCGTAAAGTGACAAGTGATAGCAATCCCCGTGACCAATTTTCTGTGTAACCGATGTGGCGTCACCCACCGCCCATATTTTTTTTTCTTTACTTCAATTACTGCATCTTTTTTCTCTCAACCCCACTTCATAGCACCCATTTAAATACTCACAACGTTCTGTGAACTCGTTTCCTCCTGTATCGTCCCAATTCGATTTAATATTACTTCAAGTGTACTTATGAAGCATAATCACTTTCACGACCGGTTTCAGATGTCGTGGGCAAGGCTGCTAACTTTAATTTAGCCGTCCTCCACCCCTCTTGTCAGTTGTTCCTTGTTACATAATAAAATCACTGTCTGGCACCACAAGATGAAAAAAGATGGAATCTATAAGCGGCCCAAGGTCAAACCACCCTGCAAAAACGGAGATTCCTCTATAAGGACGAATCTCAAAGTCCAGAAAAAAGATGAAGATTAAGTGGTGAACCTATCTTCCGTTCCTCGTGACATTGATCCTCAAGAAAGGACTAAATTTTGCACTTTGGAATGAGAGAAATGCAATCAGGACATTTTAGTGAAGGTGACTAATTTCCCTTAGAAGCTACTAGAAGAAAAAAGAGCTAGAGATGGAAATTATCCCAATATAAATACGAACAATATAACAAAGATAATTAGATAATTGAAAATGAACGATTAAATAGTCCTACAAGGCGACAAAAGAGGTGTCACAGTAGCAATGGACATAGGACCCATCAGATATTTACTGCAAAAAATGCCGAAGGAAATGAACAAGAACGGGAAAATGGAGAATGAATTCACTAAGGTGAAAGGATGCAAGAGACGCAATAGCGTACGCAAGGTAAGAGAACCATTGAGACTAATATTAAAAAACTCATTAAATGGCGAAACTTATCTGCCTCAAGTGAAAGGTGAGTGACAGATTATCGTAAACAGTGAAGAATTGACAGAAATTTTGTTAAAGAATCAAAGACACCAGTTTGGAGGGAAACAAATTAAAGGTGATATGAGATGTAATCACACAATTCCGTTTGCGATGATGAAGGACTGGGAATCTTCCTCTCCCTAGGCCTCAAACTCTTGACTCAATTATCCTTTCCCTCACCCCCCTCCACATTATATCGCATACTTTGGGGCCCTGTGACCGGCTTAATTCTAACCGCTGGTGTGAGAATGGTGTTAGTGTTGAAGGTCGATCCTGCCAGAAGACGATGACGATTTCATCTGGATTGCTGTCGATTGGCTTTACTAACATTCTTGTTAAAACTGTCCTAGAAGCAATCGTTCTCGAATCTGATAAACAGGTGATCAACCTTCGTTCATCGTATAACGGATCTTATTGAAGCAAGGTATCATCATTACAACCATATTCAAGCTGACGAATCAGGAAAACTCAGTTGATTATCCTTTAACTTGTTATCTTGAATACGATTATAAGAATGATACACTTCTCTGATGAGATCCGTTATTCGACGGACGAGAGCTAAGCACATTTTCATCAGATTCGAGAAGGATTGTTTCTGGGTCAGCGTCAGCAAGATTGAACCAGTAAAACCAATCGACGGTTGGCCAAGAGGAAATCGACGTCTTCTTCTGATGGGATCGGCCTTTGAAT